ATAGGATGTTACTTCCAGGAGCTGGCCTTTCTGACTAAAGGTAAGATCCAGCCATCCAGGATCAGCCAAGCAGATTAGTCTCTCTGTTGCTTCCTCTGCAATTACAAGTGGGGAAATTGTATGACCTGGATCTAAATGGAATATTCTTGCACTACACTCACACAAGTACATTTATTCACAGATATACATATAGACATACACACATTTTACACACACACACACACACACACACACACACACATACACACACAGAGAAACACATTCCCTTCTAGTCTGTCCAGTGACATGCCTGATCTTCATTTACAACAGGGGTGGGTAAGGTCTGACCCATGGGTTGTAAAAATCATTTGGTACATGACAGATACAGACACATATGTTTTTTCATTGGCTCTCATCACCTGCCCAAGCCTGTCTGTGTCTTTCAGTCTTGGCTTGATATTAGGTCTGATTTCATTTCTTTTTTTTGCATGGGGAGACTTCAGTGTCTTAACATATTGAGAAGATTTTTCCTGTTGTTATCCTTACCTGTAATTTCAGGGTTGAGTGCAATAGGCACCTTTCTGGCTTTCCATATTTAGGGCATATACATCTGTTTTGCTGATGGTAATATATAGAATGTAGTGGCTTTAAATAAATTTGAGGATTTTTTCATATTTCTGTAAAACTGACACTCTGGTATTATGAGCATGGAGAAGATGATTACCTGACCCACTGGATCAGATAAAAATGTCAAGTACAATGTATTCAGATGCACAAGGAGAATCTAGACAAAGGTCAGATATAGACATGAAAGCATTATTGGATATCATTTACTATGGAATCATAGAAAAGGAGAATATGGTGATAGAATATGAAGAATTGGAAAGTAAGAATTGGTACTCACAGAGCAGTGTAAACAGGTGAAGATAAATAAGGCAAGGGTACAGTTCAATCGGAGAGTACTTACTGAGGATATGTGAAATATTGATTTAATCTTCAGCCTTCCCCCTGCTACACAGACACAGACACAGACATGCCGATATACACAGAGACACACATACACAGAGAGAAACACACATATATAAATACACATATGAATAATAGTATGAACTGTATGCACAGTGTTGTGACCACACTGGATAACACTGTATTAGATACTTGATATTTTCAGTATTCTCACCATGAAAAGTGTGGTAAAATGTTAGCTTTCAAAATAATATGAGAACAAAATAATATGAGAGTCAGGTACCAGTGCTCATACCTGTAATCCTAGCTACTCACAAGGCTACGATCTGAGCATCGCTGTCCAAGAATAGTCCAGGCAAGAAAGTCCACATGAGACTCTTATCTCCAAAACTACTCAGCAAAAAGTAGGAAGTGTTGCTGTGGCTCAAGTAGTAGAGTGTTAGCCTTGAGCACAAAGAGGCTCAGGGGCAGTGTCCAGGTCCAGAGTTCAAGCCCCAGGACTAACAAAAGAAAAAAGAAAAAAAGATAAGAGAGTAAATGACAAAAATATCATACTGGAGATATCATTATCTGACTTAAATGCCTTCTTGGTGAAAGTTGGGCCATAATTGTCCTTTACATCTCAATTTATTCATAGTAGTTAGACATTATTTTTCTCTCCTGTTATAAAAAGAATTACAAGAAGTTAGGTGTATGTTGTTTTCAACCCCTGGGCTGTGCATTTTAACTAAACACAGCTGATATTTCCATGCACTTTCAGATGTGAAGATTTTCAGTTCAGGAAGGGTTTAATGCACTTTCCCAAATCCGAAAGCCACCAGGTAATAATGTTCTGGTTTGAACACACCACTGCACTTACGAAACTACACCGAAGCCAAACCTGTCTGTGCTCATGCTCATGGGAGAGACGGTTCCCTCAGTACAGGTAGAGGTGGGAACATACAGGCTGGGTCTCTACTCTCCTATCTTTAGTCAGCTGAAGCCAGAGAGACAACAGCCAGATGAAACCATCATCTAGCCAGTTCTCCCTGGCATATTGACATGGTATTGGCACAATTCCAAAAGTGAGCAGAGAAGCAGGAGGAGACTCCTGAGACTCAGGCTTGCAATCCTCATGGGACTGCTACTGATGAAGCCTGCTTGAAAAAAAAAAAAAACGAAGCCATCTCCCCTTCTGCAAGGTGGAAACTGGAATCTACTCTTGAAAGCTGGAAATCCAGGAAGAATTGTGCCCAGGTGTGGGGGGCAGGCCGGAGAGGGCTGTGAATTCTGTATAGACAGACTTTTTCCTTTCCATTTAAATTTAAATCTTTGGTGGGTGGTAAAATACGATTAACAGATGTACAACAGCCAGAAAATTGACAACATAATGGCACTTTTAATGCTGTGCTCTGTATCTCTCATCAGATTCATTTCCCTAATAACTTTTTTTTCCTGTAAATATATAATTAGAGACATGTTCTTAAAATATACCTAGATGTCTTTTTAGGCTCTCATGGTGCCTAAAAGGATACAATTGCAGTGAAAATTCAACTCTTGAAGTGGAATGTTTGAGACTAATGACCGTGAGTGCTGCCTTCCAGATTAAGTTCCATTTCGGGCAATTCGTAGTAAGCTTATGTGAAATCGCACATGCTTCTCTTTTTACCCTCCCTAGGGATACAGGATAAGAAGGATTTTACAGTTTCCACTTCAGCCTCAATAGCTGCTCTCTTCTCTTATTCTCTGAACTACAATTCCTTATCATGGCTATGGTTTAATTTACGCTGTTTAAATAACTTCAGTGTCTCATCTGAGACACCACACTGCACTCCTATTTATTTATCTCCTCAGTTCCTGAAACTCACTGGACATTCTCTAGGTGTAACCTCAGTAGTTTTCTTGTGCTGAGGTGGTTCTCCCCATTTCTTTTTTTCTTAAACTGGAAATCATAGCTTTAAATTGTTCTTATTCTTCCTGTATCATTTCAATGATTTTTTTTCTTCTTTCAATATGGCACTGGAAACATTAACCATTGTTTGACTTCCTAGGATTCTATCTAACAATTCATGAACTTATTTCTTCAGCTACATTAGAAAAGAGCTTAAACTCCAAATCAGAAGTCTTCACTTATATGGATAAATGATGGTGTAATAAAATTCATAGTATTGAGAGCGTAACTATTAATATTATATTAATATCCAATATTCTACATGCTAATAATTAAAAACCTTAAATTACTGCCTTAATAATTTTATCCAAGCTTGAGTAGACTCAGAATAAGATGTAGTAGTAGAGAAATATGATATCAACTTGTATGTAGAATTTGTGTAGGGGAGGATCAGTTTTGCAAATAACCTAATGAGGCTGAATGTCCTGAATGGACAAAGAGAAATGAAAAACACAAATGTATAAAGATAATGTAAGCCACAGGTGGAGGACTAAGCACATATACTTAGAAGCATGTATTAAATTTGTACTAAGAAGCATATTATATAGTGAAGATGCACCAAAGAATCTTCAGAAATCCAAGTTGTTTTTATTATTATATAATCCATTATGTTATGGCTTCTCTGTTATATCATGTCTTCTCTAAACATGATGAGCTCTCTTTGAGAGATGATAACTAATTCTCATGTCCTTCAAACCAGGATACTATACCAAAGGGTAGAACTCTTGGGTTATAATCTAGTTACAGCATTATGGTTTGGCTCCCAGTTATATGATTACAACATAGAAATTAGTAATAATCCTTCTTGCTTTGAAATTCCTACTCTGCTTTACATACATACAAAGTGTTGAAGACATAGCTCAAATTTATCTTACCTAAAAACATACACCCAAAAGACTGAGTTCCATCCATAGTGCACGCACGCACACACACACACACACACACACACACACACACACACACACACACACACGTCTTCATTCATGGACTTCATAATTTTAATCCAGTAATTTAGAAGAAATTAGAAAAAGAACACATAAAATAATAATTTGAATGAACTTTACAACTTTGGTGGGGGGGGAGGATTGGGTGGGGGGGTGGGGGGAGGCTGGGAAGGGATGGGAAGGGGAAACAGAGGAGGCTACAATGCTTGATAAGAAATGTATTCATTATCTTGCCCATGCAATTGTAACCCCTCTGTACAGTATTTTCACAATAAAAAATAAATTAAAAAAATAATATTTTGAAAAAGTTTTTTAATTGGTAAAAATATATTCGGGCAAAAAATGTATTCAGGCAATTTGAGAGTTCTCTCATAGTGTTCTCTATTTTTAAAAAATGAGAGAATTATTCAGTTCTAAGATTGGTAGACAGCTTAAATTGGGAGAACATATTTTTAGTTAGCAAAATTTGGGTCAGCTCAGAGCCAGGCTGTTTATAAACTCTGTGTCCTTCAACTTTCTGCTCAAAGTCCATGATTCAATATTACCGATGCAATGAGAATATTGTTCTACTTAGAGCATTGAATGAAATTAGACATCATAGGACTTGTCTTTAAGTTGTACAAATATTAGCATAGAAAGAGTACCATAAATTGGCATTTCTACAAATATCATGATGCTTAAAAGAGAAGTTCTCATTGCTTTATAGAATATTGATTTAGGGGGAAGTGTAAGTTGTGTACAAAACATTAGCTTAAGTATTTTTGTGTCTATCTTTGGCAATAGGATAAGAATGTAATACAGTAATTATCTCTTGAATCATATTTTCTCTTTAGTTTGATAAAGAACTGACCCTCACAATAACTAAAAATATCAGGGAAAAAAATGAGAAAGATTTCATTTCAAAATTTCATTCCTCTTCTTTGGTTGTTTCCAATACCACAAATGAAGTCTGACGAGTACAAATTTTAATAAACAGGGTGCTCTAATAATTTGTTTAATCAATTACTCCCTTATTCCTTTTTCACTTTGTCATTTTATTAACAGTACTGTGTTTTGTAAGCAGAGTCTCCTGTGTACCAAGAAGTACACTACTATGGCAGCTACCCTTCCCACACTTAAGGACGTTTTTAAATGAAAATATCACTAAGTGATCCTTTCCCCCTCATCGTGTTGATCAGGCTTTCTCCACTGCGGACATGGAGCTCAGAAATCACACCAGCCTGACAGAATTCATCTTGCTGGGCTTCTCCACAGATCCCCGTTGGCAGGTGGTTCTATTTGTACTATTTCTATTACTCTACTTGTCCACCATGGCTGGGAATATGACTCTGGTGTTTTTAATCTGGAATGATCCCAGGCTGCATACGCCGATGTACTTTTTCATTGGAAATTTGTCATTTATGGATTTCTGGTACACGTCGGTCTATTCGCCTAGAATACTGGCCACGTGTCTCTCCGAAGATAAGCGCATTTCTCTCCTTGGCTGTGCAGCTCAGTTTTTCTTCTCCTGTGTGGCAGCCTATGCAGAGTGCTACCTGTTGGCTGTCATGTCCTATGACCGCTATGTGGCCATTTGTAGCCCGTTGCTTTATTCGGCAAAAATGTCCACTTCTCTCTGCATTGGGCTTGTCGTAGGCTCTTATCTAGGAGGGTTTATGAATGCCATAGCTCACACTACCAACACATTCAGGATGAGTTTCTGCGGGGATAACACAATTGACCACTTTTACTGTGATGTACTGCCATTGATCAAAATGATCTGTACGGACACTACCCTCTACGTGAAAATAATTTCCATCTTGGATGGCGTCACCGTCGCCTCCTGTCTGATTCCCATCGTCCTGTCCTATCTGAACATCCTCCTGACAATCCTGAGGATCCGCTCAGCCTCCGGAAGGCAGAAGGCTTTCTCCACCTTCGCCTCCCACCTAGTCTCCGTCACGCTCTTCTATGGATCCTTGCTCTTCATTTACTCAAATCCCAGCTCCCAGTACCACAAGGAGACAACCAAAGTGGGCGCCATGTTCTACACCCTCATCAACCCCCTGCTCAACCCGCTCATCTACAGTCTGAGAAACAAGGATGTCAAAGAAGCCTTCAGGAAAGCCAGGCAGACCGTAGAGCCACAACGATGAAAGTGGTCATTTGAGATGTTATCGTGTGGATATCTAATCTACAGTGTGGTAGACACTTGTGTAGTTGATAGTTTTGAAACTCTGTGCTTGTGACAGTGAAATATACTGAGCCTGAAACTCTTTCGCTGTTATTTAATTCTCCTTTGAAAAGCCTCTATTACTGGGTTGTTACAGTTCTGCTATATGCACCCTTGTCTCACTACACAAGTGACAGCTTCATAAAACTTATCCTCTTTCTTTTCTTTCATGGGTGTTGGGAAGAGAATGTAGGAATTGGAAAAGCCCCGTTTTAAATGATTGAATTTTGAGTTAGGATGAGCACACTGTATTTGACAAGTAGGTTATACAACTGTAAAAAGCTCAACAATTAAGATATTACCACTATTAGATTTCAGTAAGGTATCTCCTATTTTCTTTGCAAAATTCTAATTACATATATATTTGTATAAATCTTGTCTTTTCTAACATAGAGTAATTATGGAAAATAGTTTTTAAAATGCTTTCACTTGAAGTAAAAACAAAGCTCTAATCCATAGCAAACAATGTATTTTGAGGAGCATACATCTATCTTGAAAGATTGTGCTCTCCCATAGAATAAACTACTGAGGTCAATCAGTGTTAACGCTGGACAATGGTAAATTCACATCATCAAGTAAAATAAAATTAAGCAATCAAAACTCCCCTATATGTTCTAGAATTCATGACTTTTATTTTTAGAGAAATTTTATGAAGAAACCTACAGTGTTACCCGACTGAACTAAAGCAACCAAACAAATGGATTGTTTCTATAATAAAAACTCAATCTTTGGAAAAGAAATTTAAAAAAAAAATACAAGGAAGTAGACAGGCTTCCTATGTTCATAGAATGGCAAAGTTAATATCATGAAAATAGCCACACAGCCAAATTCAATCAACAAATTAAGTGGTTTTGATTAAAATTCCAATGTCATTCTTAGATAAGAGAGAGAAATCAAATAAAAAGATCTATGTCAATATTGAGTCTGTGAAAAATTAGAAACTGGATCTGTTTCTCATATTTTAATAATATCAATTCATATAGAATCAAAGATCTCAACGTAAGACCTGAAACTTTGAAAATAGTACATCAGTAAAGGGAACACCACATTGGCAGATGCAAAAAACATTCCAGGAGCTCAACAAATAGAGGAGAGAGCTGACAAATTGAATTGCATCAAGCCAAAAGTTTCTGCATAATAAAATATATAGTTACAAGCTAAAATTTATAACCTAGAAAATGGGAGAACTTACATCTCACAAAGGTGAATTTACCAGAATATACCAGGAACTCAAAAAACTAAATTATAAACAATAAGCCAATGAACAACTGGGAGAAGGAGCTAAGCCAAACAAGAAATCTATTGAAAGATTTAGGAGTCATTAGCCATGGTGTTACAAACCTGTAATCACAGCTACTCAAGAGGCAAAGAATGAAAAGACCTCAGCTCTAAGTCAGTTTTGTCAAATAAAAGACATTCTCTCCACAAGTAACCCAGATATTGTGGCATGCACAATGAATTTGAAAAATATAAATAGATTTACATAATCTTTTACTTAATTTTTCGTAGTAACCCTTAAGAGAGGTAAATTATATGTCTGCCATAAGATGCACCTAGAACTTAATCTTTGTTAATACCCTTCTTGGCAAATGACTATTCTATAATAGCCCCACTGTTTTACTACAAGAAGTCAGTCCTAATATTCATTTTCCCCAGTGGGGCATAGAATCACAATCTTGCTAACATGAAGAGTAATTTTTCCCTCTCTTCTTAGGCCCACTTTATTTGCAAAAGTGTCATTCAGCCACTTTGTAGACAAATTTCTTTATTCCTGCCAGTGAAGCATACAGAACACCAGTAAGCATTGTGATTTAAAAAAAAAGGATGAGACAATACAGTCATCTCCAATTAAAATGACATTAGTGGAAGGCATCTGCAAATTCAGTTCACTGACTTCTTTTTCTTTCATAGCAAGTCTACCTATGCATTCATTTAGTCATTCATTAAATAGATACTTGCTAGGGTCTGTTTTATGCCAGCTACTATTCTAGGAACTGAGTATATGTTAATGAGCACCAGAAACAAATAGTTTAAGTATCTCATGGACTTTACATCCTCATGGGCTTTTAGGTCTTCTGGCCTTAAAAACCCAGGGGACTTCTGAAGTAGTGGAGAGGGCCCAATAGTCCAATGTAATTTGATATCTTGGAGAAAAGTTCCAATTAGTGTCCATATTTATCCACAGAATTCATAGAATAAATCTATGAAAAATCAACAGCTATATGCTAAACTTTGGATCACACCTTTTGATGATAATATTTGAAAAAAAAATGTGTGGCTGAATCTAACCATTACAAGGATCAAGGGCTGGAAGTCATTTAGTATTTTGTAGGCAGGGACTGTACTAAGGGCAGGAATACTGTTCTGCCATCTTACATCCAGTGTCTGCATCAACATTTATGCATCAAACAGATGATAACTATGATAATATACATGTGAAGTATATTTTAATGGAGAGATTTCCATTATGCCAAAAACAATTGCCACAAATTATAAGGAAACAAAGGTTAGTTGAACTCAGATTTATAGACTCTTCATTTATGATGATTCCTTGGTCCTATTGCTTTGGTCCTTGGGCGACATTATGTGGGTGAAGTTTTGCCTCAGGGCTGGAATGTGAAAGAGGAAAACAAAAAGTGCAAGAGTCCATAAACATTTTCAAAGATAAACCACATTATACCTGTCTCTGTCTATCACTTGAAGTATCCAGAGATTTTCACTAATGTCAACCCAGGAACTGTGTCTGTAATACATGGGCCTTTGATGGATAAATAAGATAAAAATCATAGCAATAAATAAACCCATTATAATTAAGAAATTCAAATAGACAGCTACAATAAAGAAATATCACCAGTTTATTGCATAATGAATGTAATTTTTTTCTTCTATGATGTTTGAGTCTGACTCTCAATGTAGTTTTCCCATTTGGAAATTTTTGATAAGTGTACCAAAACCTTCAGCAGGGTCACTAGAATAATCTTGTTGGAAATTCTGGAGGACTGTTCTCCATTCTAAACTATGGGAATGGTCTACTTCTCATGGGCCATAAAACATTTGTCTACTCCTAAATGGGAATTAGGAAAGTGAGTTTTTCTCTCACTATTGCTTCTGTGCTTAATTTTCTCTTGCTGCTTTAGCTGGGTGGTATAGCACTGTCAGTTTCTACATTTAAATTCTTTAGGGGGAATAAAGCATCATTAAATCTACTCTGTAATGGACAGCTTTGTTTGTGACCTATTACTCCATTTGATGATCTGAATTTGTCTCTGTGGGGCTTATGCTGTATAAGCTCAGGTAGTCACTTGTGAGGCTTGAACTCAGGACTTGGGCACTTTCCCTTAGCTCTTTTGCTCAAGGCTACCAATCGATGACTGAGCCACAGCTTTATTTTCAGGTTTTTATGTACCTTTTTTATTCTCAAAATACTGTACAGAGGGTTACAATTACATGAGCAAAGTAATGAGAACATTTCTTATCAAGCATTGTTGTCTCCTCCTTTGTTTTTCCCCTACCATCCCTTCCCTCTCACCTCCACAACTACTAGTGGTTAGTGGGAGAAGAGACTAATGGACTTCTCTGCCTAGGCTGGCTTTGAATCATGATCTTCAGATCTAAACCCCCTGAGTAACTAGGATGATAAGAGTGAGCCACCAGCAGCCTGGCTCAAGACAGAGTCTCTCTCTCTCTCTCTGTCTCTGTCTCTGTCTCTGTCTCTGTCTCTCTCTCTCTCTCTCTCTATATATATATATATATATGTTTGTGTGTGTGTGTGTTCTACTATGATATGAAGGTAGAACATAGAATATTTACACAAATATATGTTTAATTAGAGATTTGAGAAGCAAGTATAAAGTGATGTCACTTCAGACACATATTTATGAGATTTGAAACAAATTTTCAGTAAACCTAGTTGCATAGCTTCCTTATCTAAAAATATTTGTTCGCCAAAATTCAAAATTACACCATTTAAAACAAAGTCATTCATACTGCCTTCCCAACATCTCTGAAAGAACAGCAGGAAATATATATTCTGTTAAACAGAAAGTACCCAGAGAGTCAAAGTAACACATGTACGTCTTTAACAAAAACAGTATTATAGGTTTTTACAAAGCTTATATCAAAAGAAAGTAATAATAATAATAACAACAATAATAATCATAATAATATCAACAGACTGTCTGGCTCCACATTTTATTGTTAGAGGTAAAAAACCCCAAAACTGAATCACCTACACAGTATACACATACAAAACTCTCAGTCAATCTTTGTATAAACAAATGTCAACTTTTATGACTGTGGTCGTATGGTCTGTATTGCTTTCTTGAAGGCCTCTTTGACATCCTTATTCCTCATACTATAGATGACTGGGTTGAGCAATGGGTTGATGAGGGTGTAGAACAGAGAGCCCACCTTGTTGCTTTCTGGGTGGGTGGTGGAACCAGGATTTGAATACATGAAGAGCAAGGATCCAAAAAAGAATGTGACGGAGACCAAGTGGGAAGCAAAAGTAGAGAAAGCCTTGCGCCTCCCCGAAGCTGAGCGGATCCTCAGAATAGCCACTAGGATGTTCAAATAAGAAATGAGGATGGGAAGAAGACAGGAGGTGACGGTGATGGCATCCAAAATAGCAATTATTTTCACATAGGCACGAGTGTCTGTACAGACCTTCTTTATCAGTGGCAGAACATCAGAGAAAAAGTGGTCAATAGTGTTATCTCCACAGAAACTCATCCTGAACGTGTTAGCAGTGTGGGCTATGCCATTCAAAATCCCTCCTATGTAAGAACCAATAACAAGCCCTGAACAGAGAGAACTGGACATTTTAGCTGAATAAAGCAACGGGCTACAAATGGCCACATAGCGGTCATAAGACATGGATGCTAACAGATAGCACTCGGTGTAGACTGCCATACAGGAAAAGAAAAACTGAGCAGCACATCCAGGAATGGAAAGGCGTTTGTCTTTTGAGAGACAAGTGAATAATATTCTAAGGCTGTACACAGATGTATACCAGAAATCCAAAAAGGACAGATTTCCAATGAAAAAGTACATAGGTGTGTGCAGCCGAGAGTCAATCAAGATTAAGACCACAAGAGTCATGTTCCCACACATGGTTGCCAAATAGAGCAATAGAAACAAGCCGAAAAGAATCAGCTGCATTTGGGGGTTGGCGGAGAAGCCCAGCAAGATGAACTCAGTCAGGACTGTGCGATTTCCCACCTCCATGTCCACAATGAACAGTCTTACCAACACGATGATAAGAAAGACTAAGCTAGTGGTATTTGCATTAAAGAAAAATGACTATAGTTGGAAGCATGGGGCGAAGAGCAGAGCACTTGAGTAACAAACCCGAGGCCCTCCGTTTTATTTCACAGTACTGTCAACAAAAGAAAAGAAAGAATAATGCCATGAATGGGTTAAAAAGTTATCCATTTAATTACTTAATATTTGTTCTGATTTAAATTTTCAGCTTTGAAATTCTTCGGAATTGGAATAAGAATTAAATCTTTGAAGTTAAGGCTTTTATAGTGAATGCCAGGCCAGTTCCTTATCAAACAAAAGGAAAAAAGTTTATTTCAAGAGATTACTGCTATTATAATCTGGCCATTTTTGTTTGATTTAGGAGGATACACTTTAAAACATCCAAACCATAAGTGGTACAAGCTATTTTTAATGGAAAAAAAATTCTCAGCCCAATATCTGGTGTACAGTTTTCCATTTAAACAATTAATATTGTTAAATAAGTTAATGAGAACTTCCTATGTGTTTGCCACTGGATGCGGTACAAATAACAATTTGCTGTGCTCCTTCAATACTGGGATATTAAAATTTAAATGAAATTTGTATTACTCACTATGTGCCAATAACTACTCTGAGCAGAATAATCTCACTGCATTGGCAAAACTGAAACATGGAATTTAAACGGAAGGTCAGTCCTCATCGACTGATAAACAGGGTGGCCCCAAGATGAACCCAGAATTTTCCTCACTAATAGTACATGCTCCTAATTTAAAACCAGGGGTCAGTCTTAGAAGTGAATAATTTTTTCCTCCCATTTAGTCATAGCTAACACAATGAGATTGATAACCAGTAATATGAGTTTTCTCTGCCAATTAAAATTATTTTCAAAAAATATTTTCTCCAGTGTCCCTTTTGTTCCATTCTACTCTAAGTAAGTTAATTGCATGAGGATTACCAAGTATGGATGAAACTAGGTATGTGTGTGCATGTGTGCATGTGAGTGCACAAATATATGTGTGCATGTGTATATATGTGTATGTCTGTGTGCATGTGAGCGCACACATCTATGTGTGTATGTGTTTATATGTGTATGTCTGTGTTTCTGAGAAGGAACTCAAACCATTCTGAGAAAATGATAGGGATAAATTTGACGAGAATGGTCTATAACTTGACCTAATGGGTTTTACCTCTTGAAGAATTGAGATTGCCAAGATTCACCGCGGCACCCAGCTGAGTAAAGCATTTCCTGCTATTCCAGTGCCTGAGCATGTGGAAGGACTCAACTCAGTTTTAATTTTAAAATACTGAAGCAATAACCTATATCCTGAAGCTCTAAAATAAACAAATATACTACCTATTTTAATTACATCAATTTCTAATAAATATACTGCTAACTATCACCCTGTGAACAATTTAACTGAGTATCTAACAGTTCTGATCCCTCACTAGTAAAGAAGAGAGGACAATCTGAAAACCAAGAAAATGTGATTGATGATTTCTATGATGTAATCATTTAACTTTGAGCTAAGCCAATGTAAATGTTGGAACTAAAAGGGATTCAAGACCTCTACCCCTAGGTACAAGGGCTTTGTTTCATAGTAACTGAGAATTAGTCATCATCATTCAAATAGACTTGATCATGTTCAGAGAAGGCATAATAGTAAAAAAAACCACTGGGAGTTCCAAAGACATTTCTATCCTCCATTAGTTTATAATCTACCTTTTTTAATACAGATAGTGCAGACTCCTAAATTCATGTACTTAGGCTTCCACTTGTGGTTCTACAGTGGACTTGTATTATCTTTATAAGCCTGTCTCACATCATTCTTTGTCCATTCAAGACTTTCAGCTTAAATCAGGAAATTGACAAAAATGATTTCCCCAAATAATAATATTAGTACAAATCTCTGGAACTGCATAAGTAGACGAAAAGTTGTTCCCTCAAGCCTTTGAATACTGATTTTCTTCTTAGTCTACCAAAGCTTAGATAATATTACCTAGGCAGTTATTGTTATTAAATAATTAATGTAGAAAAGTTGAGTTTTGACTTTTCTCTAAATAGTTACTGTAAAATTTACTATACTATGTTTGCACAAGGAAAAGCATCTCAGCTTGACTTCAACATCTTTCTTAAATATAAGGTGGAGAAAAAAATGAAAAGATAAGGATATAATAAATTTCAATTTTTAGATGGAATCACAGAAAAGACAAGTGATGGGTGAAGTTTCTGGGGCCATATTGAGGGGATTCCAAAACAAAACTATTGAAAATGACACAAAGACACCTGAAGTATAAGAATAACTTAAAACTATGATTCTCAACAGAAAGAAGAAATGTGAAAGCACTACATCACAAGAAAACTACTTACAAAGGTCTCACCTGGAGAACACACAGTGAATTTCAGAAAATGAGGCGATAAACAGGAGTGCAGTGTGCTGTCTCAGATGAGACAGAAGGTCTCAAAGTTTTGGAAACATTGAAATTATATTAAACATACAGCTGATCAAACCACAGTCATTATAAGAAATTGTACTGGCTACATTTATGAGATGGACAGGTAGGCTAATAAAATCTCAAAGCCACTATATATACTCAATAGATTTCGTTGAGATTTTTAGTCCCAGTCAAAAACATTTTGATGAGCCCCTATCATGGGCCAAACACTGTTTGTTGAACTCACTCACTCCTCACCTGGACAGAGTGTATTAGCCTTGCGAGTCTCATCCCTCCTCTAGGATTTTTGTAAGCCATGCCAGAAAATGAAGATGTCACAGTGCTCAGCCTTCAGAATGACTTCGAAACCCACAAATGTCTAGAAGAACAGAAAACAAAACTTTGTCTCATGTGTCAAGCATTGTTAGAATTCCTGTGCTCACAGCAGTTTGTGTGTCTGCAGCTCTGGTTTTGAAACACAAATGTCTATAGAGGTTGGCATCAATTTTGTCAAATTAAACAACTGTATGATTCAAAAAAAAAGAAATTGTACTTCAGAGAATAAAAGAACAGTTATTGAGACTGAAGTGGAAACTGTAAAACCTCTCCATTCCTTTGGCACCGATTGAGACCAGTCTCTTCAGAAAGTTAAAAAGAGAGACATGCATAATTTCATATAGGCTTATTAAGAATTGCCCAAATGGAACCTTAATCTGAAAGACAGAACTCAGGGTCATTAGGTTCAACCAGTCTTCTTCAAGAAAGTTCATTTTTCATTGCAACTTATTCTCTCAGAGCTGGAGGAGCCTAGAATGAAATCAGAGTACCTTTTACAAGACGTTTCTAGTTTTTTTGTTTTGTGTGTGTGTGTGTGTGTGTGTGTGTGTGTGTGTGTGTGTGTGTGTGTGTGTGTGTGTGTGTGTGTGTGTTACAGAAAATCTCTCAGGTAAGTAGACCCTGATGAAAGATTCAGATTGCAACATGAAAGCCACAATTGTGGTTTTGCTCTTCAGACTTCTGGGTGTGTGCTAATCATATCTCAGTATCACAGACTAGTGTCGCTCTTATGTTGAAAAATAGAACAGAAAATGTTTATCCATGTAGACTTCACCTGTAGATTTGAGGACCAGAAAATTCAGCCACAGTTCTATGTGGATTTCCAGATTTCAAGAGTAAACTTCATTTTTCTGCCTTGAAGAAGGGAGCTGGCTTCATTCTTTTTCTTTTTCTTTTTTTTTAGTAAGTATATTTTTTGTGTGAAAATACTGTAGAAAGGGATTACAATTACATGGGCAAGGTAATGAGTACATTTCTTATCAAGCATTGTTGCCTCCTCCTTTGTTTCCCCTCCCATCTTCCCTCCCCATCCTTTTCCCCCACCCCCAGCCAAAGTTGTAAAGTTTGTTTTTCAACATAACGTCTTGCACATCTCATTGTTGCAATGGGTCTACCTGTATCCCCATTTAAACAATTTGTTTTTTCCCTTCCCCTCCACAAATTATACTAACATCAAACACAGTGAAATGGGGGTTATACCGTGGGGGAGGGACATACAAAACAACAAAGAAACCATCTTATAAATATGTTAGAAACAATCACAAGAAAGAAAAAAAACAGTTTAATCATTATCTTGGGGTTCATTTTGCCTAACAATAGGCTGCGTTATTCACAGCCCCATAAGGACTGCAAGCCTAAGTCTCAGGAGTCTCCTCCTGCTTCTCTGTTCACTTTTGGAATTGTGACAATACCATGTCAATATGCCAGAGGGAGCTGGCTAGATGATGACTTCATCTGGCTGTATCCCTCTGTGGCTTCAGCTGAGGAGAGACAGGAGCACTAGTGGGGACCATTCTGTATGTTCCCACCTCCACCTAAGGGAACCATGTCTTCCATGAGCACAGACAGGTCTGGCTTTGGTGGAATTTCGTAACTGAAAGGATGTGTTCAGACCAGGACTTTATTACCTGGTGGCTTTTGGATTTGGCAAATGTACTCAACACTTCCTGAATTGGCCATCTTCACTTCTGAAAGTGCAGGGAAATGTCAGGTGTGTAGAGGATGAGAACAGAGTATTTTTTATAACAGGAGAGAAGAACAATGTCTAACTAATTGGAATAAATTGAGCCGTAAGGGACAATAATGGCTGGACTTCCACCAAGAAGCCATTTAAGTTAAACAATGATATCATTCAGAATCATGTTAATATTCTCCAGTATGATATTTTGGTCCTTTCATGCCATCTTAAGGCTAACATCATACCAACATTTTCATAAGAAGGTTTTAAGTGTTTCACTGTGTATTAATTTTGTGACACAGTGCTATTCAGTATTCAGTCTTATTCAGTACCCTCAAGATTCTATGCATTTAATCCTCAGTACTTATTTAGGTCTATGTGTGTGTATTTGTGTGTATGTGCATCTCTGTGTGTGTTGCCGAGGATAGTATCATCTTTCATCCTCAGTGAGTAGTTTGCCACTGAGCTATGCCTTTCACCCTGCTTTATCTTTAACTGAGTGTTTACATTGCTCAGTGGCTTCAAACTATCTCCTACT